AGCACAGCAACAAGTCCCAAAGCTGATATTGCCAGAATAAAAGGATGGAAATGTGGCTGACAGGAAGGAGGATGCCAGCGTGGCAGGTCTGACTTGGATCACAATATATTGCCTTGGTGTTGTATCCTCAACACAGTGAATAGCAAGCCAAATAAGAAAAGCCTGAGTAAATCAGAATTACAATACACCACGATTTTAAAATTCAACCTCACAAAAAGTTAGACAATCAAAACAAAAGCCTTCCCCAAAAGTGTGGAAATTGCAGGATAAAAGCTTTTACTGTCAGCAAAAGAATTACCCTTCTTTGAGACAGGGTATACCTCGTGGATGGGAAGGAAATTTTTGCATTTCAAAATAAAATACAGACAATCAAAAAACTGTCTTAACTGCATTAGGTTTCCTATATTTTCATGAAGAGTATTAGTTATTCAAATTCTGTACTTAACTTTCTCCTATTTTAGACACTAATTCTATGAAAAATGAGCTCTTTACTGCTTGTAGAGCAGAACCTCTCTGTTCTGGCAATTTTCAGACAGTGACAAGAGGTAAACTCAGAAACACATTTGTTTAAACAATAACAAAAAAAAATTTAAAAAAGCTTTTCAATATGATTAGTGACAAAGATGGTAAGATCAGCAGTCATTTTGGTTTTCCAGGAGCCAGAAACAGGAATGTATTTTTTCAGCAAAAGCATTATTTTAGTCTCCCAGGAGATATCAGTAAACTGAGACACAGTTACACCAATGAATTTTCTCTAAGTAGGTTTTTGATATCTCAGTGGAAGTGGGTCAAACATGCAAAATTCTGAATAATGTTTCCAACTAGAAACACAGTCAACTGTTCCACATAAGTCAAACACTCAACAGAAGTGTCACTTAAAACAGAGCCAGCCCAAGGCTACTTCTGTTAACATTAATTCCCAGTGCCACATTATGCCTTTTATTATGACACCAAGAGTTCTGCCAACATTTGGTGAACCAAATCAAGGAGTTAAACTTGATGAAATGGAACAAAAGAACGAAAATTTACTGAACATGAAGAATTCATTTGATGG